CCCCGTCCCCACCCATGCGCCTCCCGTCTCGCTCCCCTCCATCTTCCCGTCCTCACCCATGCCCCTCCCGTCTCGCTCCCCTCCATCTATTCCCTCCCCAAAACCCCGTCCCCACCCGTGCGCCTCTCGTCTCGCTCCCCTCCATCTTCCCTCAGCCCCGTCCCCATCCACGCGCCTTTCGTCTCGCTCCCCTCCATCTGTTCCCTCCCCAACCCCGTCCCCACTCGTGCGCCTCCTGTCTCGCTCCCTTCCTTCCCCTCCCTTCCCTTCCCTCTTCCCTTCCCAACCCCGTCCACCTTCACCTCCATCTTCCGTCCCCGACAACGTAAGCTTTTCCTCGCTCTCCCCCGGCACTAGCGACTAAACGAGAACCCAAGCATCGGAGATGCTTTTGGGAAAAACAATTCCATCTGATTAATTGCCTGTCGCCCCACCACAGTGCTTATCGTGCGCTTGCTCAATGAATGTGCCAACATCAGAGCATCGCGGGCCAAAGCCTCTTTGACAGAATGACGTGACCGGTGATGCTTGATGGGTCACGGCTTTGTCAAGTTCATAATCTTCATCGTGTGTTCTTTTGCATAATAATGATCCTATACGTTCATCGCGCAAAGAGGTAAAGCGAACTAAGGGAGGAGGGTCGAGGGGCGCAGGGGTCTGTGTGGAGGCACCACGGGATGGAGGGCGGGGGGCGAGCGGCCTATTTTCCTAGTGTTTCTAACATTTTCTAACGGTTTCCCTATGTTATTCCTATGTTATCCCTATATACTTGTTTCCTGTGTTATTCCTACTGTTTCGAGTTCTTTTTAGATCTTTTTATTAGTTTTGCAGGTTTGGAAGTACGAGCTGCTTTCAGGTCAGAGCGGGTCCAGACCGCAAATGGAATCCCCTGGGGGCGCGGATTGGGCCCTAGACCCCCTGGCCTCTCGCGGCCGACTGCGCCCACCCCCCACCGAATTCCGCCAGGACCCAGCTCCTGAGCTCTTTGCTCATGATTGGGTTTCCTCATGCTGTCTTGCTCCTTTTCTTTTCGACTATGGTTCCTTTGTTTGTTCCATTGTTCCCTATTGTTGTTCTTATTTTTGATGCTATTTATGTCCTATGTTGTTCCTCATATGATTTTGATCTCACCCAATGAAAGTTTAACTTCATCAACATAACTTTAGTCTTAACAATTCTCAGAATAGTCATGAAGATTGCAGTCAATGGTGTCTAGATACCTGCCTGACGAGGCACGGAGGAGCCTTCGCTCCAATGCCACGCCTGGACTCACTGGAGCCGCTCGCGAATCTTTGCATTTGGACTTTGGATTCCAATGATCCACCCAAGTTCCCAAAACAATTAGACATCTTCTGGAAATCTCTACCACTGCAGACCAACAATCTGAAAGACCATGAGTTGGACCATCAAACCTGTGCTTCAGGCCCAATACCGCCTCCGAAACCTGCGATTCGGCAGATTCTCAAAATGTTGTGCGGGAAGCCCGCCTGATTGCACATCATGAGCTGATCCTGCGGGGCCTCTGGTGTGCTAATTCCAAACCCATTCAAAACCAATAATTATGCCAATAGGACAAACAACAAAAAGCACCCCAAACTCAAGAACTTCAAACTTCACAGCAGAATTTTGGCACCCGTCAACACAGAAACTGAGAGCCAGTTGTTGACACGTGCAAATGGTGAAAGGTGCCGCCAAGGCTCTTGAGATTCCACAGCCCAACTTGGTAAGGATCCAATTGTAATTGTAGCTTGGACGGGCTGGCCTTGCCCCACGTATCTCTCCCACTCTTCCTTGTTCACCCCCTTTGGATCCTTGAGGCAAATTGCGCAAATCTTCACGTTCTTGTGAAGAAGTATTCTTATCACAGGCATTCACAGGATATGTCTGCAAAACACCCAAATATATCTAAATATGCAAGTCGATGCAAGTCCTGGAGTCCTATCCACAGAATCCCGCGCCTGTTCCAAGGAACGCGGAGCTGAAGTAGACCTCTCCGCCCTGCTCGGCTGAGAGCCCGTATGTCGCCGTGCGGTATATTCGTGGTCTTCCCAATCCCAATCCTCCTCGCAGCGCATCAAAAGCACCAGTACTCCAGGCAAAAGCAAAATGGACCATGCTCAACCCAACTGTTGTTTATAAACTGATACCGGGCTTGGTCATTTCCTATGTGCAAGAGTGCTTCATTTCATACACCGTTAGGGAAGGGGTACTGTATAATGTGTACAAATACACATGTGTAAGCACTTGGCCCCCTTCTCGACAAAAAGAAAGTGCCTTTCCCGTCCTCGGCAAGGCGACGCGGAGCTGCCACTGGGGCGTCTTTCCGCCATGGTGCATCACTGATGTGTGCGAGTGAACCCTCTGGTGGGGTAGGAGGGCTTGCCTTGGATTGAGCCGGTGCCAGGCCTTTGTCGCCTTTGCTCTTGGGCGGCGCTTCAGGCTCAGGGGGGCGCATGCCTCCCTTGTCTGGCCTGGAAAGGCAAGAAACAACGCAAGGATAGTCAACTAGTTCCATGTCAGCTCAATTAGATTGCAGTTCAATTCAGCCGGCCTGATAGAATCAGGCATCTTCTTTGGCATTGGCATGCGCTTTGGGTGTGGCTTCACCCTGGCTGCATGCTCCGCCCATTCTGCCTTTTGGAGGGCTGTGTTGAAATCCTTGCTATCGTTTCGGTAGGTGTCTGTCCTGGCATGGAAAGCAAAGAAGTTTGTAGGAATTGCCATGGCCGCCAAAAATAACAGAAATAACTAACTTCTAGATTCTAGTTGTTTTCGCCGAAGTTGCTGGCTTGGAGGATAACTGGCTAGCAGGGAGCCAGCAAAGGAAACATGTTTATGTTTAGCGCCGGGTTAGGAAACCGCATCCCAAACTTCCGCTGCATGGCTTGTGATACTTGGCTTCCCATGGTTTCCCTAAAAATCTACGAACCAAGTCAGTAGTGCGAGTTCTTCTTCGGTAGTAGCTTAACCAGCTAGTAGCTTGCCTCCTTACTTGGTTAAGCAGGCGCCTACTTAAGCAAGTAAGGAGGCAGGGCGGCAGGGCGGCAGGGCGGCAGGGCAAAAAACAAGTGAACGATAAACTGAAGGCGATGCGATGCAAAGTCTAACGATTTTGATCACCAAGCATCTGATCCCCATTCTTGTCGAAGATCACGAGCTGCTGGCCATCTGGTCCCAACCACAGCACCCTCAAGAAAAATGCCGGGCGCACTGTCTGAGTTTCGGCTTCACCTCGCAAGAGGTCCCGACAAAAACAGACGATCATGTGTGACATACACAAAATATCACGCAATGATATTGATGCAAAACCAGCATTTCAGTCTCGTCGCCATTGGTGAGGATTACTCCATTGCTGGACTGCACAAACTTGATGCCCGCTTGGATTGCACGGTTGATGTCAATGAACACCGCGATGTCACAATCCTCTCGCATTCCGCTCATCACTCCGGTTCCTGGCAACCCAAGGCACATGTGGATGTGGTTCCGTCCCATCGTCTTCAGTCCTGCAGGGAATCGGTTGGGGAGGCAAGCGAACTCAACTCAACTCTCCTTTCCTATTATGTTGAGTGTGACCAAATACATTTAGTTGTGGCCAATGATTTATTTCAAACTGGAAACTGTATGAGTATGATGCAGCATCATGCTGCATCCATGTCTGTCATTTTTCTGGGTTGGGGTCGGACTCATCACAAACAATCACAAATTCGTCCTTCAGTGCGGATCTTTAGCCAGGCAGGCAAAAAGGTCCCATGGATCACGTGTTCTTGACCCAAATCATCGGCACTTCGCACTGGATGATGGACAGAGTCTTGCACTTTGGAAATCGTGTGGCCCTGAGTTGCTCGAATCCATGGCTTCTTGTCCGGACCGTCCTGATACGGCACCAATGTTAGCAACAACATTGGGGAGCTGAGTCTCAGTGTTTCTCGGCATGAGATCAAACAATCCGCATGCAATAAGAAACCCACATTCCTGCAAGGGGTATCAAGGGGTCTTAGATAGCAACCTGGCTATAGCGGTGTTTCTCAAATTTGGTACCTTCAGGAAGACGCCATTTCGAAACAACGAAATTGGACTTCCGTGCCCACAGCGGTGGTCCTCCCAAAGCTCGAAGCGCTGCTTTGGGCAGTTTTCCACGACCAGGCGGATCTCGTACAAATTGGTCGGTTTGCTGAAGCTTTTCGCCCGGAGCTCGATGAGTTCGTCCACCGAGACATAGCCATGATGGTCCATGTAGACATTGGCCTGCAACATGACAGGCAACAAAGGATATATTCATGCAGAATCATGCAGATACATTAGAGTTGTAAATGAATATATAGCTGTATTATCATGGAGCCATGGTTTCGAGGGTCTGTTTTGAGACAAACCCACGTCATCCCACATCCAAGTTTACATCCTTGGACTAGAGAATTGCAGGAGAATGCTTCAATGCATTGTTGAAACCTGCATTGTCTGGCCAACACCTCGCAGCCTGCGCCGCAAGGCACCCAACAAAAAGTAACCCATGACACATGTCTGGCCCACCTCCGATGCCCCGTGGCGCAAGATATACGTCAACCATTTGGAGACGCTGTCCTTTTCAGGAGAGGCCAAAATTCCTTTCAATCTCATTCATAGACTGCTTGGTATCTTTCTTGTATTCCAAAGGCCATGGTGCTAGACCCACATTCAAAACATCTTGCGCCTCACTGTTGCTATCTTGCCATGAAGAGTAGCTCCAACTGTCGCTTCCTCACTGCGGCTCGCTTTGCTAAGGGGAAACAACTACAAAGCGAGCCGATCCACTAATGTTGACATCGTATTAACCAACCCCCCTATTAGTCTACCCAGGGTTCAGGCCCCAATAATAAACTAACTTGAACTACTAATTTCCACAGTCACCACCCTCTAATAAAAATTTTGATTGGCTGAAACCCCCCCCTATTAGTCAACCCCCTGTCCCCCCAGGAAAAATATAATTACTTAAATATATATGTGTGTTCAATTAGTTTTGTTCTTTTTGCCTTTTCAATATTTTCTTGTCTTGCCATGGTGAAACTGATCATCTGATTGATTACCAATGCTCTCCCAAAGCAACAGTTTTCCTAGAATTTCCAAAAACTCTATAGGAAAATTCTGTCATTTTCCCTTATTAAAACTCTATCAAAATCTGCAATTTGAGAAGCTCAGAAAGGGTACCCCCCATACACCCCCTACCCCCCTCTAATAGTGGGGTACCCCCCCCTATTAGTCAACCCCATCCATGATGAGCTCTCATGGACCTCATGATGAAAGGGAATTAGTATTTGGGCTCTCATGGATCTCATGGATCTCATCATTCCATCCCAGCTCTTCCAAATACTAATTCCCTTAATTCCAATTCTTCCAAATACTAATTCCCTTTCATTCCAATTCTTCCAAATACTAATTCCCTTTCATCTCAATTCTTCCAAAATACTAATTCCCTTTCATTCCAATTCTTCCAAATACTAATTCCCTTTCATTCCAATTCTTCCAAATACTAATTCCCTTTCATCATCAGGTCATCCCCACTATTAGGGGGATGTGATCTCCAAAACCTCCAATCTCAGACCTTGTTGACCTTGTTGACCTTCTAGGGGGGGGGGGCGCCCCGTTGATTAATACGACGTTGACATTACATTCCATTACCATTGTCAGGAGTCCACATCTTGCAGAAATGGATCAAATTGCAGGACACAAAGAACCTTTCACCATGGTAGTTAAACTGTGCAAGTTGAATCGTGGCTTCTTAACCTCAGCAGTGCTGGAACATGGCCCTGTCCAACGGCCCAACGCTTGCCTGCCGAACCTCTCCGCCAGTGCTTGTTGTAGTCCCTACTCTTCTTCCAACTTTGCTTCACTGACCAGCTGTCTTGACTGTAGTCTTTCCATTGCCCTTTCCCCATTGTTCCGCCGCTGACCGCACGGGTTGCGGCTACAAGTAGAGCCAAAATGTTCGAAAACAAGTGAGCTGTCATGCGCTAGATTAATCAAGTAATCACATGCCCCGTAAATCGTTTCAACTGAATGAAGAAAGAATTAAATACACCATATTGTTTTCAAGTCTCGAACTGCTTGAACACGACAAAAACAGGCAAGTTGAGGGCTTGACAGCTTGCCTTCCTGAACTCTTCCGCCAAAGTTCGCAAATCTTTGCGCAACCGCATGTTGTCCTCAGCGCTGATCAGTGGTCAACTTGAATCCAGCAAAAGGTCCTTCCAATTCCAGCAAAAGTGGCTGAGCACAACGCCAGTAGGGCTTCTTCGGCGACTTTTTCTAGCTCTTGCAGCTGGTTTTGAATTTGAGTCCTCACTGTCTCGATCAAGGCTCCAGAAACTGTGCGGTGCGGATCTTTGGCTGAAAAGCCCTTGAATCTGAAAGGCATAATTGATAAATGTCCCCTGGTGTATTCCTTGCCTGCAAGCCTAAATCATTGATGTCCCAAAATGGACTTCAGCATCCTGTCTCGCCGCAGCATTCCGAATAGCCTGGCACCGGCTCCTTGGCAAACTTGATGCTGGAATGATGGGTTCTCGGCTCGCATCCACATCTGATTATACATATATATATATATAAGATTACAAAGTATATACATGGAAAACAAAAACACAATGCCTGCGCGAGGGCGAGGTGCAGCCTGCGCTTGACGGCAGGACTTGCACGTCAAGACAAATCGTAGCTCTCGTTCTGATTTGCTGTCACAAATCCCGAGGTGTTGCTTCTGCGCAACCCTGCTTGCTGTTCCCTCGGCACCGGGCTCCATTGCTCCCATCTCTGGTTCGCATGAGGAAGGAGATCAGCTCCTCGCCAATGCAACCATGACAAAGAATAAGAGCATACGAAAGGGAAAAGCAAAGTAATATCAACTTGTCTAGTCGGAAACCTCCCTCCCCGCACCTCCTTCTCTTTGCTGTCAGCTTGCAAGCACTGCCTGAGGCACGCCAAAGAAATCATACGCCAGGATGTGCTCGTGGCCTTCACTAAGACGTGAGCTCACTGGATTTCAGGAGTTCAAGGTCTTGCTCGAGGCCGGCATTTTGCCGTTCCAACTCCTCGATCTTTTGCACCTCGAAAAAGAAAGCCATGGACGTGGGGTGCTGACAGTTTCTTGACCAATAAATAAACGTTAACTAATATTAAATATATGCCATCTTGATTACCATCTTCTTGATCCATCCTGAGGGTGTCAAAAAATGCCCAACTTAGTCAACGGCAGAGCTTTAGTAACATTATGAAAAATGGAGCTGCCCAGGTATGATCCGTAAGTTGAAGCATCTTCAGTCTGACTCCAGAATTGAGGAATGTGCTGATGAGACCGTGCTTCTATCTGCCAAGTCATGAGAGTAGCTTAGCCATGGACATAGAGAATGGAGTCAAAGCTCTCCTGGCTATCAACGAAAGGGTCATAATAATCACGCTTACCAAAGCAGCAGGCTTGGCTGACTTGCAATGCTTGCAAGGGCTCCTCTTGGTTGGTTTGCCCATTTCTTGACTCCTGTGCATGAAAATCATAATTCAGCTTGTACTGTTCCGATCGATTGCGGCATCAAAATAGCGCTTCGCTATCGCTTGGGTGAAAACAGAGCGACGGAGCGCAGTCACCGCTTCGTCCAGCACCTCTTCGATCTGTTTTTCCGGCTCCGGCTCATCCAGCTTCCGCTGATGCTCCCGGATTTGGGCTCTCAGTCCCTCAGCCTGAGCGAATCGGCTCAATTCATTGCCGTTTCACATCGCAAATCGACCCCGCAAAGGGCTCTTCTCTCGTCTTAGCGTCATTCGTAGATTCCTGTCGCTTACGAAGTTCTTTTCTTACTAATAGCCACCTACTGTGCGCTACCTCTCCTACCCGCCCACTGCCCACCCCTCTGGCAGCCCACGACCTACCTCCTCCAACCACCTCACTAGACTAGAACTGAGATCTGGACTCGATCAGCGTTCTGCAGCTGTAATTCTTTCATTGCACTTTGGAGCGCCTGATACAATACATTAGCTGTCTTTTCAGCTGTGAGATTCATTTCATCATACTTTGACAATGCGAGCGCCAATGGTGACAATTGTCTGTTCCAAGATTCCAAGCAAGCGATTTCCATGTGTCAGTATCCTGCCTGAAGTTCCTGCTCCAACACATGGAGCTCGCCTTCACCAACACCAATACATATATATATATACATCGGCCGATCGCGGCGAACCAAAAGATTGTGAACCACAAGGGCTTATATAGATAAATAATGATAAATAGTCCTTAGTATAATTGTGCAGTTTGCACATTGACATCTCTTGATGTTTGTTTGCCCACTTGCCAACTTAGATATACTTGTCCTACCTGCATCACTTTGGCAGGACGATGTTGGGCTGGCCGCAACGGCAGCCTCCAATGGACCGAAGAATACATAATTGGATTGCCACATCCAAACCTAAGCCAGCTAAGTCTTCATTCAGTCGATACCCACATGTCATGTCTCTCTCTCTATATATATATAATATAAGAATCCGTTCAAACTTCATCCAACGTCATAACCACACCACTAATTTTGGAGCTTGCCAGCAATCACACACACAAGCCACAAGCAGCGCTTCAAACCTCCATCCTTCAAGCTTGCGTTAGCTCACACAAACCACTAGCACGACACTGCACTTCATGGAAACAACACTCCAAGTCCTTGGATAATGTCGTTATGCCAAGGCAGCGGAGGATTGTTTGTTCGACCAATGTTTCTTCAGTCCGACCCTGTCGGCCTCCCAACCAAGCTCTGCGGTATCCTCGTGCAGGACTTGCACACCGACAGCCTCCAAACATAGTAATGACGAATTCATCACATTCCCAGAACACTCATTGACAGGCAGAATTCTGCATACTTGAAGTGCTCCTCCTCTGTACAAAGGTTCTGCACTGGATCTGGCTCTTCGGGTTCAGCTTTCCCCTCAATGTCAGAGCTTTCGCTGCCTTCCACCAAGCTCCACCATGCTCAGCACACAACAGCTGTGATTAAACAGGACACAGCGCCTGGCTGAGGATCCACGTGCCGCATCCAACATGATGCGAGGTCCTCCTAAAAAGCCCACTGTTGTGCTCAAGTTGACACTCAAAGGCAATGGGCCTGTGCATAGCTCAAGCGCTCTCGCCGCAAAACACTGGCATGCTCCATACGCTCTTGCCTAGCAACGATCCATGCAAGTGTCGGTTCTGCATGACTGCGCCCAACGTCATCTATAGATTGTTGGAACATGTTGATCAGACATGTTGGAACAAAGAAACACATTAAAATAGACTACAGTAAATAGCCCTTGGTGGGATTCTCATGAAAAGCCTTTCTGCGCCTTGTCAGCAGCTGCTCAATCGCTTGGTCACGTTGCCTCCGTAAAACTAAGGAGCTAAAAAGATCTAAAAAGGCATTCCAGTCCAGCTGCAACCTGAGATCTTGCATAACTCCAACAAAGAAAATTCTTGAAGGGCCTCACACGATCAAGAACAGACTCCATGTTGCATCGCAGCTCATAGGTCAGGCCTTCACTTCTCTCACACTTGCACCCCACCCGCACCCACCAGGGGCATTCTGAACTTCGAGACCAGGCAGTGCGTAGCTGGGAGACCCTGCGCGATGTGCCTTGCGAGGACTGCAATCGTTGGCCTGGCCAGGAAAAAACAGCTATCGTCTTATCAAGCATGTTGCTCGGGAAATGGAGAAGTTGCTAGGAAGCAACAAGAGGTACAACAGAACAAGACTTTGCTTCATACTACCTGTCTTTAAAGGAATACGCATGAAACAAACAAACCGAAGCAAACTATCCACCTGTCACTCCACGTGTCACTCCCGCGTGTGGGTGCGGAGGAGTCGTCCCACCTAAGTGGTCGAGCTTCCCCTCAGCACTTCGCAACTGCTCTTCCAGAGCTGGCAACCTGGCGAAGTGTTGGAGTCTTCCGGGTCTGTTTCAGTGCAACCATGTGGGACGGCAAGAAAGCGAAGGCAAGAGGGACAATTCAGCGATCTGTTCGGGGCCCGAGGAAAAGAAAGCCCTGGCTGTGAGAAACTGGGAACAGGCGATAGATGGGAAGGATGCTAGCAGAGTGCTTGCCTTGCACATGGTGCGCAAAGATGCGCAATCCATTTCTTCATATTTCTTCTGTGCAGCGGTATATAACATAGTTCAATGATGTTCAATGCTTTTTTGGGCAATCTATGCATTGTGGAGCCATTCAACCGCATGGTCCCATGCCTGTTTGGTCATGCAGTCATGCAGCCCTGCAACCCTTCGATGACCGGGACTCTCCGTGTTGCTTGGAAATGCCGGTGCGGCGCTGCAGCAGATGGCTTGCCCGCCTTCTCAGTGGCAACCTCAGTACCAGAACGTGCGGTGGCAAACCTCAAAGATGTGCAGTAAGCGCTTCTGCCTTCTCCGTCAAGCGGGCAATTTGAGCCTGTCAAATGAGCCAAAGGATTCCACAATTGAAGGCCTTTGCCAATGAAGTGAAGCTAAAAAAATCTCAGTCAGTGCACCCTGAGCCTGCTGACGGTCGACTGCTTCGCGCACTCTTTCCAAGTCTCTCTGCCTAAACATGTGTTCCAATGTCAAAAGTTCAAGCAGTGAAGCTATGCAAAGCTTATCTGGCATGAAATTCTGGTTGCATTAGCTGAGGTCGTCCTCATGATTAGACGTGAATGATAACTCACTCTCAGATCAGGCCTTTGGGGAAAGTAAAAAAGAGAGGAAAACATAGTGGACATGGCAACCCTTAATAAGGCTTCCCTTCAAAGAGAGCCAAGTCTACCTTCCGTTTGTTCCCACCTAAGGCCAGGGGGCCGACTGCGCAGACAGCGCAAAGACGCTGAGGCACCCGAACTGCTGCTGAACCTTCAGGAGCAAGGCCTGGGACGTTCTGCGGACGGAACCGGCAGATGGAGACCGGAACCGGCAAATGGAGACCTGATTTGCAGGTGATTCTTGATGAATACAGTCTTGTCCCAAGGCAGAATCATCCGATTTATCATGGTTTATCTAGAATCTAGTCAGTTTGATGCAAAAATCAACCAAACAGCGTCAAAGCACTCCAAGCTCCAGACCTGGCTCAGTGTCAGAACCTCCTACACCATCAACTGATCCCAAAAATTCACCGACAAAGAGTCCGTTTCAGAGGTCGGGTGTGTTTCCTGCTGCGGCTGCAATGCAACTAATGCAAAATCAAGTAAACTCTATGTAAAGGTTTATGGATGTGCACCATACTCTGCAACTCGATTCGGCAAAGAACTCAGATGCCACAGCAGTCCTCCACAGGAGGACTTGCGACCCCCCCTGGTGCTGTATCCAACACAAAAGACTAATGAAGACTCATGAAGGTGTTGTTTTTTCCCATGGCTTCACCGAAACGTAATCATGACAATCACACCCAAGGCTTCACATTGGCTTGGCCGCGGAGGGACGCCTCTATCAGCACGCGGGTCAGCGGCAGCCTGGGTGCCATTTTTAGGCATGAATTCAAGCACGGCACCAAGGCAGTTCACCCAGACCAGAATTTGTGTCTTGCATAAGCGCACGTGAGACATTCAATTGAGATCAAAATGGAACAACTATGCGCTGACCAGTTGATAGATATTGATACTAAATTAAATAGTCTGAAGACAAGGAGCCTGGGGCTCCAGCAGTTGCTTCGCGCTGAGCCAGCATGGCATCTTGTCGTGCGGCACTGAGGTCCTGAGTAGGTCCATATGGCATCATGATCGATTTGCAGCGGTGAAGACACAAAAAGCACAACGGCTTGTCAACTATCCGATCCTCCATGACCGCCTTCAAACGCTCTTGCAATGCAGCCACCTTCGGCATAGAATGGTGCTCTTTGGCAAAATCAGGTAGAATGAGGCAGAATAAACATATATAAACATGTTGCCTTTTTGATCCTTTTTGTGGACCTTGTTGGGGATGGTTGTCATCGGCTGTCCAACAACCCATGAAGTTCTTCCAAACCGACAACGGAACCAGAACCTGAGGAACTGAATCTGATCCGAGCGAAACAGGTTGGTAGCTTCGAAACAACATGTTCAGCCGCTGCTCATACCACAACATGACGTAGCTTTCAAGTTCGGCTGGTTCGCCGCAGGAGGGGAAAACACTACGAATTGCCTCTGCGAGCCCACATGAACGCGCCTCTGCGAGCTCGGCAGCCTGGAGTTGACGAGGATACGTCGTCGAAATTCATCCAGTGTTCGGAGACGAAAATCCACCAGTCTTGGATCTGTACTGAGACTTTGAAGAAAAACATGGTATAACTTCTGGATTGTCATGGTATGTCATTCATGCATCGGTTGCTTGAGGTCCTCTTTCCACCCTTTACCTGTTCGCCTTTATGGCTCCGTGGCCTCGCGCTGGCTGTGGTTGTGGCTTTCTCCCTGAGCAAACACAGTGACAAGCAAACCACATGCCATGTCTGAGAGGTGCAGACATGCAACAGCGCAAAATATCCCAAGTATCAAGCCTGCGGAGCCTGAGGATGCAAGTGGAAGGTACTTCCATCCTTGGGCGGTGCAATTCAGCCCCCTTTGGCCTGATCTTACTAGATCTGCGTGAGTGTATCGCAGTTAATTCATTGTTTTGGACAACATGAACGTGCGAACGTGCAAGAAAAAACTGAAGCAAAACCCATGATAGATTGTGACACCCCAGCCTTTTTGTACATCTGTAGATCAGTAGATCAGATAATACACCCTCATCTCCTTCAAACTCCGGGATATGGCTCAGAATGAGGCCAATGAGGACTTCAGAGAGGCCGCGCGCTGCCCCAGGGCTGACACGGCTCCTGAGACTGCTCCTGGATAAACACGCCCATTCTCTTCAGAGAACGTAGTAACTTAGTAGTAGGGTGTCAAATTTGACATCAATATTCCCAAGAGCGTTCTTACACATCACAAAGGAAATCAAATCCAAAGAATATGAGGAGCATGTTGGCTCTCGGAAAAAGAGAGTGACTTCCTTATGAGAGCAACTCGAAGCAGTTGGTTCCAGGGGGCGTTCGCAGGTCTCGGCGTACAGAAAAAGATATACAGCATTATACAGCATGTGTTGTGTTTGGGGCTGGACGTTGTTCATGGGACTGGAGTTCCGCGTGCCTCGAAACTAGTCAGTGAAAGTGTTCAGAGCGGAGAGAAGACATAGCCGGTATGAACATCACATCCAGATGTGATCCAAATGCTTTTGGGGCTTGCTGCTCGAACCCCGTGTCTGGGCCGTCTGCGCAATGCTAAAGTGTCTTATCAGGTACCATTGGTTGAAGCATCACGCACCCGGCATGGCTCCTGCACCAGCCTTTCGCAAGGCATCCATGTTTGCCATCGTTCCCTGTGGCTCGGAATGGATGTGTCGACGTAATTGAGCATTCTCCTGTCGAGGTATGGATACGAGAAAAGAAAGGATGGGAGAAAGGAGAAGAGAAACATTTATGTAAGAAGGGAAGGAAGGAAACAATGCAAAAAGTTGTCAAAAAGAATAGTGATAGTAACAAAGAAATTATGGACAATATATCATTGTCATTGTCATAAATACGTGAAACAACTCTGAAACAACTGCAACAGTTCGCCCAAGTCAGCCAGGTCCTGTCTCAGCTCTTCTGTCTGCATCTTGAGATTTAGTAACTCCTGTCAGTTTCGGTCGAATCCTCATCCTGTGCCTTTTCAAGTCAGTCCCTTTTAGCTGGCAAGCATGATAAGTTTACTCATGAATCCTATGATCAGCCTTGAGCTCTCCTCCTGCAAGCGCAGAAACTCATCGGAACTGAGTTCGGCTGCCATCGCGGCCGCCTTGGTCAGGAATCCATGAAACATCATCAACTGAATCACATTCATGCAAGAACTGAAAGGATTTAAATAAAGATCTTGCAAGGACGATTGCAAGCGATTGCCCATCCAGTTGAAGAGTCATCCAACAGATCTGCTCTGGCTTCGCTCAGGTGAGATTTGCTGTAGAATTCTCTCTATTCAACTCCATGGTCCATGCTGCTGTGGATTTCAGAGCCTCAGTCTGTCGCCGAGGATCAAAACGATCTGCCAAAAGAAAGCTGAAAAGGCCTTCCCTACTATGAGGCTGAAAAGCGGCTGGCGCGGGAAATCACCCCAAATCCTCCTTCAATGTCAACATGCCAAGGGCTGGCGAACCAAAGTCACTCTCTTGCACCATTTTCCACGACAGCTTAGCGACATCCGGAGGATGACAATAAGATTCAAAAGGCTTCATCTAGAGCCAGATGTTGTCCCGGCTGTCCGTTGCCTGAAAGGCACACCATTGGGCCCTGGAAAACAGGCTATCCCGGCGACGTGTGTAAGAAGTGCTCTGTGGGGCGGCTGTTGCGCAGTCACTAGTCAAGCTCATTTGTCCAATTTGGCACATCCTTCCAAAGCCAATCGTTAAGGGCACAATCCCCGCTCTGCATTCCCGATTCATGATGATCAATGGTCCAGCTTCTACGAGCGCTTTTGAGCTTTGCACGAGCCGGCATTAACAACTTAGAACCCCTTGCACGTCCGACTGCAACCTCTGGACTCGGAATACGATGACCTCTTCACCTTCTTCATCAGAGCTCTGGTCTCTCCCTGCAAGGCATGGGTTTGTCTAGAGACAAATGGGTAGTCTATGGTCTATGTTCCGGTGTCTTGAGACACACTCTGACTATACACCTTCCTGACCTTACATTCCGTTACATGCATTGACTTGCTCTTCTCTCAAGCTTCTTCAGTTCACGCATGCCATGCCTTCTTCAGAGCTGTCATCAATGTCGCTCATGCTCTCAAGGGCATCTTCCTCAAGAAGCTATTACTGAGCGAGTACAATTTGAAACTGGGAGTCACTGGGAGCAATAATAGTACAACAGAAATGAGGAAACAGGTGGACCCAGCATGAACACAGCCAAAAGAGCCTGTGTATAAATCAGCAAGAAAGAAATCATGAACCGCAAAGAAGCACGATCGAGCATCCAATGGGAATTCCCACTCGAATGTCCCTCTTACTAACCTGCCTCAGTAGCGTCCTTGCTCCTAGTAGTAAGGTAGCTTCTTGTTACTAGTAGTAAGAATGCTCCCAGTAGCGATGCCAGGAGCCCCTAGTAGCGTCCTTGCTCCTAGTAGGTCAATGCCCAAAAGCTCATGTTGGATTTCTGATCTCTAGTGACCTAGCCTCCATTGCCTGCACTACAATATGAGTCCCAGCTAAAGGTTGATATTTATATTAATAAGCCTGTAGTGATAGCCTATGGCCTATGGCCTATGGTCATCTTCTCCATTCATAGATCGACAGTCTGCGATGCATAGCTGTGAAATGCTGCGAAGATTGTGAGCACCCCTTCGTGCAACAACGATCTGCTTCTGCTGGCAGGCTGTCAGCTCATCGACTTGCATCATGGTGCTTGAGAAGAAAGTTGTTGTTAGTAGAATGACATTATGCAGACACTGCAAACACACAAAGCAAAGGAGCGTACAGCGTCGTGGTCCAGTGTGTCCTGGACTTCGGAGATGCTTCAAAGCTTCATGATTTGATCCCAGATATTTCCAAAACAAGGTGTTTGCTTTTCAAGAGTCTGACCAACCATCAGATCGGACTACAAAACATGAGCAAACTCTGCATCAATGGCTTAATTAACATGAATCAGCCACATATGCGGCTCGCCTGTAGGCGAACTGCTGCTGATAAGCTGGATGTGACTGAATCGCTGATCCTCGAGAGGCGAAGTTGGAGGTGGGCCCGACCCAAAATGACCCAAAATGGTCAAGAGCATTCTGTGAATGATTGACATTACTAACATTAGAAAAAATATACAGTATGTTCTCTGATTAATGGTATCTTTTCTACCAAATGACAATGATTGTGAAGGCAAACCATCATACAACGCCTGTCAGCTTGTTTTGTGACAAGTGCTGTGGCTGGGATGTTCATTCCACGTGACTCATGCCTGTTCCTTAGGACTCTAAGCAACAAGCGCGTAGACATCCCACACAAAGTCGGAGGACCTAAGTATAGGGTGTGATTTCCAATGCACTGTAGGTAGACATCATCATATACTATCATATACTCTCTTGCATTCACAGGAGTCATAGTCATCAGATAGGCCAGCTCGGCTCTCAGCTTTTCTGGAGTGGCCACCATCGCCACGCCGTTGATCGTGAAGGCTGTAGGGGCCTTGCTCTTGCTCCGTTGATCGTGGGAATTTGGACTCCCAAAAACTGGGTCTGCGAGGTTGCCGGAAGACCAGCCAGCAACTTCCAAAACAATGTCCGTCTCTTCACGGGTTGTCCGTCTCCAAACAAAGGCCAAAAGCGATATGTGAAGGAAAGCCCCTTCACAGTAGCAGTATTGTCCCACGCCTCCACTCCCAAGCTTTCCGTGTTTTCGCCACTGCGCTCAACATCTATGAGCATGGCACCACCATCACTCCTAGGTCGTTCGCTCGAGGTGTCTTCCACATAGAAATTGTTTCACAAATCATCGCAAGCGGTGTCCATGCTGTTCAACAAAAGCTAAGGAGAAAAGTAATTAGATGGCTGAATGTGATCTGTATACGTGTGGGCTGCTCACACCATAGTCGCACGTTTTTGTTCTTTTGGTCGGCCTGACCTCGAGTGATTTGTCCTCAATTTCTTCAATTGAGGAGGGCACCCCTCAATCAACCGTCTGGAGGCCTCTCACGAGTCAAAAGTCTCACTGGGCAAAGATAGACAAAGGACACCAACTAATGGTCTCCTGCTGTTGCCTTCGTTCACTCAATATGTAATTTCATTTCATCATTGTTCATATATATTATATACAATAATGGAACTGGGTACAAAATAGTACAATGGGTTGGGCACAATGGAGGCCAGTGAGTCCCTGCAAACCATTGCAAACCTGGCTCTTGCACATGTCCACTTATCTAAGCTGTCGCCTCTTGAAGAGCTGGAAGAGATGGTAGTTTCTCCAAGCGTCCTGCATGAACGGAGCGTGCAAAGCCATGTGGAGCCAAAGCAAAAATTATCTGAAGAGAATTCCAAAGGACCTTCCATTGCAGGCCATGACGCATTGGCAGCTGCATGTAGCCAGCTTGCGGGAAGGCCATAGTCCTGCCGAGATGATCACGCGGAAGCTGGGCACAACCTAAAACTCAGATTGAGGTGCTTGCAAATGGATTGAGAAACCTAAGCTGTGCCCTCATAGGATCCCTCCAAAAATGGACAGTGCAACGCAGTTTCGCGGAAAGGAAATGAAAGGAACAAGTAATTGTTGAAATAAAGGGAGAATTCCCTAGCATCCTGGAGCCAGCATGGAGAGGGCGACCCATGATTGCCCTCCATGCTTTGCTGCCCTTTATCGTTCCCTCATCTATCTGAGGCATTCGTGAGTTCAAAACTGCAAGGCAAACCCCTGCTGCACCTCATCTGGCCACTGCCTCGACCTTAGCACTTGCTTACGCATCTTTTCTTTGGCATCTTTGACTCTACAATGCTCTACAAGTTGCAGTTGAGTGCTTGAGAACATGTATGTATATAGCCATGACTGGAAACCAATAACTCTCAAAGGCTCCAGCCCCACAGTGTCGACCAAACGAAGCGCCGCTGCAGATGCGTCCGGCCTAACGCCTCACTGTGGTGCTGAAGGTAGTCGGAGATTCAGAAAGAACAACGACAGGAGGCAGGGACAACGACAGCTGCTTTGATTGTCTTATATAATGACAAACCTTACAACGGTTCAGATCCGATGCGTGGGACAGCATGGTGAAGATTGAAGACATCTGGGATGGATTCGGATGGATCGCCTAGAATCAGCATGAATCCACACAAGAGGGGTCGAATCTTCAGCGCCTTCGGAGCACTGATTTAGACAGTGAAACACACGTATGCAGGTTGAACAACTTGAAAAGACTGCAACAACGAGACTAGTATTGTGTTTACTGAATTATCCTTCCTTCAAAGTCTCAAACTACGGTATAAATACTGCATTCGTCAATGTCTCAAGAAGGAAGTTTTTCAACAGCTCATCAATGGCAGTTCAGAATTCCCGTGCTTGCCCATGTTTGTGTTAGCGGGTTGAGAACTGCGATAGTAGTCGCGCAATTTGTTTATCAAAGCATGAAAACAAAATATCATATTTGTCCGATGTTGTTGCACGTGGCATGAAAGTGAGCACCTTTGCATGTTCACTGAAGAAAAGAAACTGCATATTGTTGTCGAATCACGGCAACCTCTTTTGTTTTCGTACTTGTTCACAGTTCCTGATTGCATTTGATAACTGGAATTCACTTGCGCTTCAGAATTTTGGTGGTAGTATGTTGGTTGTGCTTAGAAGCTGATGCCATGCATATACGCACAAACGCTTTAGAAGATGGGCGGGTGGGGAGGGTGAGGTTGGGTGGGCGTTAATTACCTTCGGTTGCAGAAGCATGCATCATCTTCACACGGAGATAGAGAGAGACCCGCGAGAGAGGTGGGGAGAGAGAGAGCGAGAGAGAGAGAGAGAGAGCGGCTTTAAGTGGATCATACGTACTTCAATGAAGATAAACGCGCAGTTGTCCACTGGCGGGATGTTTATGTTCTATCATCATATTTTATATAATACTTTTTATATATATACTGTATACTAGTGTTACCTTTTGTTTTATGCTTGACATCTTGGTTGGAACAAGACAGTCTCTTTGAGTGACGGGCGCTTGTCAAGATCTTTGCGCTGAGGCTCCTGACCAGTCGGACACAAACATTGGCCATAGCATCAGCTGAGTCGCTCATGATGCCACTAGCTGCTATAAGTCGACAGCTCCTTCCAACGGCCTATGGAGAGGGAATGCGACCAACACATTTCACTGAACATGGACCCTCAGCAAGCCGAACGATTGTACGGAAACGCAACACCTGAATTTGATCCGTCGCCCAAGCGCATGTCATGACCGACACGAGCGGCACCTCCACCAGGATCTCTGGAAGGGGCTCTTCGTCTAGCCGCCTGGGAATTCCAGGCCCTTTTTCAGTCAAACAGCTGCCCTCTGTTCCAAACAGAGGCCTGACTCTGTTCCAAGAGGGGTCTTCTTCATCAGGGTCTCAAATGATCTCAAATGCATGGGACCTCATGGGACCAAAGGTCGGACTGAAGCGGCCACTTCCCTTGGATCCCTCTCCTCTTCACTCGTACTAGAAGCGGCCGCCGCTCCTGAGGGTAAGGTAACTGCAAGGTGCAGCAGCGGTACCGCAGCCGTGTTCATTCGGGTAGCAATCTCTGAGGTTGAGGCATCCATTTTTCCATGAACAAAGCTGATCACATAGAGAGAGAGAGAGAGTTGTAAGCAGTCAAATACATTATGTATATACATATGCAATCACATACGTATATACGCATGCATATCTTGCAAGTCATTTCAAAGTTGCTGAAAGGCTGAAGGATCCAGAGTTAACATGCAAACTTGCTCCTAAAGCAAGCGTTTGTTGTGTAATATAGTTAAGACTTGCATCTCTGCAAGCTCTGCAATACCCGTGTCTTCGTCAACCCGTATGGTCAATCTTGTTGGCTGGAACCAAAAAGCTTCTCTGCGAGCAAATGTTGCCAAGCCACCTCATTCCAGCAGTGTTTGCCAGCATGAGGTAGTGTCAAAAGGAATCACGATAGATCTACAGGCGCATCCAAACTCTGTCTCTCATCACTCTTGACCGAATTGGGCATTGCAAGCTCGCGTCAGCAAAAAGCTTCTTTGATGGTAGACTTAGTTACAGCTCACTCGGCTCTTGACTCTGTTCAGTTCAATAACATACTCAGCTTAGCTGGCCTTGAGCAGTACAATCATCAAAACGATAAAACCAAAGGAACACTGCTCAGAACAATACATGCTCAAAATCCTTGTAAGCAAGTCGTGTTGATTGATCTGTCAAATGTTCCTCTATGACTCTGTCCATGTTCATCTGCTTGTGTCCGCCTTTACTTGCTGGCAAAGAAGTATCATGATAACAGAAAAGGTGAGTTGATTGGAAAACAGCTTTGAAAGTCACAAGTGCTGTATAAGCAAGCTACATGTTTCTCCTTTCTTCGTTCACCGTTGAAAGCCAAAAGAAGGAATAGATTGCCCACGTTAACAAGAATACAACAAAGCTAAGAAGGACCTGTCCTCGACTCTGATCAAGTAGGGCCAAGACTGCTCCCTTCTCTCCCTATATAATTGAAAGCTAGAACCGCTCCGACTTGCTCAAGAGAGAACCCTGCAGACTACAATGACCACCATTCATTAAGCTACTTAGTGGCTTGGTTGGTTGGTTTGCGATTTTTTTGGCCGGTTGGTCAGTTGGTCAGTGAATAATCCGTGGTTGTTTTTGCACACCACTGTACACAGGCAACTGTTATAGAGTCAGCGACCCCGTCAAGCTTCCTTTTTTGCTTCAGACATTCGAAGCAATATGTTGTGAGACGGCCAGCTGATGTTCAACTTGCCCTGAGAAGTTGAAGGTCCATTGGAAGCTGACTTACCAAGTCCAAGGTCGGGAATTTGCCAAAATCACTTAGCTAACCTCGTTACAGAAGTGCTTGTCAAACTGAAACTCCACAGAGCTCAAATCCATGTCAAGTATTGAGAACAAAGACTCTTGTCGCTGTTCGAAAACATCAAGACACCTTCCAAAGGCAAATCTTGCAGGGTGAGGTCATCCTCTGTTTGGACACGTCAGTAGCACCAATTGTTAAACGTCCAATGGTTTGGTGACCTTACTACACTCCCACCCTGCAGCTATTGTCGGAGATGGTTGATCTTGAGATCAAGACCTCATCGCCATGATTTTGAAGAGCGCTTGGATGCTTTGGAGCTTTCAGAAACAGGCTGCGAAGCTGTAGCCTTGGGCGCCTGAGGCCAGGAAGAGTTCAGAAATGCAGGTGGTTTCACAAGGTGTCACCTCATTCTACTTCTTTACATATGCATCGCATCTCTGGCCAACCCATATAAAGGGCTGAGTTTCAGCCCAAGATATACCTTTTCAAGTTGTAGTTGCATTTCTGCCCAAGACTACAACTTTGATTGAAACCCTTTGAAGCTGGAAGATAACAATTAAACCTAGATGGCCCGCACACGCACAGCTCACGCACGACAACTCAAGCATGTTGTTCTATAACCTATAATTTTACTATATGTTACTTGGGTGATGGCGCTGGTTGGCAAAGCCAATCTTGGTGGGTCGTCGTCGGCAAAAGTCAGCAACATATTGTGAGGTGCCCGTCTTTAAAGCCGAGCTGCTGCCGCTCTTTGGTTCTCTGCCAGCCTTTTGCGAAGCTCTTCAATCTCCTTCTCTGCGGCCTGCGGCTCTGGCAGCTGGGTATCCATGGTATCCACACGTTGCCCATGAAACTGGCTTTCCTGGGACGTTTGGTTTGTCCAAACAGTGGTGAGGTACCTGACTCCATCTAACTCCGACATCTCACGAATTCAGGACTATGTTAAAGCACTTTAGGAACAAAGAACTGCAAGCAACGCGCCTGCCGTCGTTCTCTTTCTATTTCCAATTCCTCGATGTTTGCAGCGTTGTGTGTTGCAGAGGCTTCGCTGATGCTTTGTGTCTTCCTGTTCTAGTAGAATGCCCTATCCAAGGTGTTTAGTGATGTAATGTGAATGGTCAAAGGCTGTGAGTTGTGTGCAATCTAAACTATTGTGGGGCAATATCTGTGTAATTATGCGTGATTATGCATCATACTAAGTCTGTGTCTACTGTTGCCCAGTACTGAAGTTCAAAGGCTCAAATATCAGGCTTGACTTGAACTTTTCATCTGTAGACAAAGTACAAAGCCTCGCCAGTCTCCCGTGACTAGTAAGCCTTCATTATTCATGTTATATGCGTGGTGACGTCCCAACCCAACGCTTGCTGGCTGGTAGTCTGGCCGCTGAAGTGACGATGAATCCGAGGTCACTACCAAGGAGAGCACGGTGGATCGGCACGAAATCGCTGAAAAGGAGGTTGAGGCCGAAACTCCTGCTTCATCCAAAAGTATCAGCATAATTTAGAAGAATCCCAACAGAAGACGGGCAGAAAAAAGGACGGAGAACAAAAAAAACAAAAACATCGAACAGAACCAAGTTGGAGATACTGAGTTAGCCAGTCACAAGCCAGTCTTGTTTTTTCTTCAACGACACCACATACGTTACCAAACACAAATCCGATACATCGCAGGATACGGTCTGAGGTCTTGAACAAAAAACAAACAAGAAAGGCCGAACAGAGCGTTCTCTTACATATTGTTCCTTTAGACATTTGGACTTAGACTCTATTAGACTCTGACCTCGCTGTTTTTCCTCCCTTTCTTTCCTTTCTTGCTACAAACAAGAAGTTTTCCGAATACAGTAACCCGAACTAGCCATTGCTGCTCGATCATCTCTGGAAGAAAGCCAACGAAAAAGGAACGCACACCAGGCGCACGTGAGGAAGCGGTTCCAAGTCGAGGCGTTGCCTTTGCCTTAGCTTCTCTTCCAAATTCGATTAGCGCCCTGGTCATCCGACCTAATCTGCAATACCTATTTATGTGATGCAATTTTGTGAAATGTCAAATGTCGACACGATCTGTGCCTGCTTTTCCAAGCTTCCCACCTTCTCCAAGCGTCCTACCTGTTAGCACCATGTGTCCATGCTATCTATACCAGCTGACTCACTTCACATCTTCCCCACCTCACTTCCTTCTAAAATCTCTTTACCTGGACGACACGCCGAGAACGTGTCTGACAACACACCCTCAATGATGAAAGTACTTGAAGTATACAGGATGAAGTGAAGCGCTTTGTCTCAGCTATACCATAACCGATCATAACCATCTCTGATCGGCTTCGTCAAAAGTCAAAAGAGTCAAAAGAGATCCAAGCATATAAATATATGCTGTCGAATCAAATGCGTTTCATAGTCATTTCATGTTGTTTCAAAGTTCAAATTGTCTGGTCAATGTCGTTCGCCTCGAGATGCAAGTGTGCCTTTCGGCTCGAGTCGAGGTGCATGTGGCCTCCTTGTGCAACTGTCTAAAGTTCCGCTAATGGTGGCGGAATGCAGCAAGTCGACAGTCTTTCTAGTGTCTTCAGATCTGCCGGTAAGCCTTTTTGGTTGCCGGGTCAAATGCAGGCCCTTTGCACATAAGATCTGCTCAAAGGGGGCCGTGAGTCATGGTTCACCGCTTTTTGCAAGTGACTTTAGACCTCGGATTGAAAGACGGCTTGCCGTTTTGTCCTTCCGGTGATGGGGCAGCTCCACTCCAACCTGAAGTGTCTTGAAGATGATTGAAGATCTTGAAGTGCGCTGAGTACATCAAATCAAAGTACATTATATACTCGGTTCGGTTGACTCCATAATCCACCGAGTTTCGCAAAGGTCCAGGCACCTGTTGTACACAAAATAATACACAATACATCAAAACACGAGAATCCCCCTCTTCCTGCAGAAGCCGTCGAAGCAGAACAATGAGATACACTCTCGACTTGACCATGTCGTTCTTCCTTGGACTCCACTGGATCCAGCCCTGAACGCGGTCCTAATCTCGGTTGGAGGCCATCGCGCTAGTAGGGTGGAGGCCATCGCTCTTAGGTTGGAGGCCATTCCTTCAAAGCCTCAAAAAGATTCAAAAAGAGGTGTCAGTCCAGGTTCCGCTCCAGACCAAGCTACACGGATTGGGCGGTCGCACGCACCGCTGCACCCTGCGCAGGAGACTTTGACAACACCGAACTTCTCGTGCGCTCATCGACGACACCAGCAACCCTTCAGAAGCCTCACATGGCTTTTATTGAACATCCTCATCAAGAGTGTCCTATTTGCTAGAGCCGCAAAACAGCATGCGAGATCTAAAGTAGCTGTAGCTGTTCAAGTGCAATGCAAACGAGCTTGCTGTTCCAACCCTGGAATCGGTCACTCTCTAATGCAAAATGCAGGATGGTCATCATTCCTCTGCCCCAACCCAGATTCACGGTGTCATCTTCGAGATATCGGAGACCTGAGGTCCCATGAGATCGCCGCGTCACATGCCGCGTTCTACAGGGCGTCTCCGGGTCGCACACTTGGGGCCTCTTCAGCATCAATGCGATTCCGCCAGAACTTCTCATTCTGCACCGGATTCTTGGGCTCGGCGCCGACGTAGTAGGAGGTCTCCATGGCCACGCCCGGAAAGCTTCAAGGTACCGTCGGCAGGCGCCAAAGAATGATTTCTTGGTAACTATCTCTGCTGTTTTCAATGAGTGAGCATGAGTGTGCATTCCTTGTTCAAGTCATTTTAGGTGTGGGACCACAATAATTTTCAAAAAGGTGGCGGTAGTGTGCGGTAGTATCAGGTAGTTTAGGATGTTCTGCAGGCTAGGAGTCCGCCTGAGTGTGCATCCTTGTCTGCAAGTGACCTGCTCCACCTACCAAGCCACACTTGTGCCAAATTCTGTCAGTCGGCGGTGCGGCTGGTCCAGTTGGGCAAAAGCATCTACTGTATGTACGAGTTTATATAATGTTATGCCAATAAATTGGGTCTTTCCTATTACCTGTAACAGTGGATGATGATGATGGTTAGTAGAGGCGGTGTCCAAAAAATAGTGATAAGTGATAATTGTTTACTGACTGTTACAGGGAATAGGACAAACTCTATATAACTAAATATATAAGCTGTTTTCAGGATCCGTTTGAGCTACAAGTACTTGTTGCTTTTGTTGTACTCATTGCCTTCGATGGACTTGAGCAATGCGTGTTGGAATCCGGAGTTTGCTGGAGCCTGCTTGTTGCTTTCAACGCATCCAGCCGTCGGTGGATCAGCTTTTGCTTTGTGCGGGGTAATGCCTGTTACTTGGAGACATCGGGGCAGGAAGCCACGTCTCGTGAAACGGAGCAGTGACACTGCTCCCCTGTTGTCTTTTGTACACAAGAGTTGGTGAGGAAAGAGAAGCATTGCTCTTTCAGTCACCACATGCGCAGCGCGCACGGCTGACAATGCACCTTTGTCTCAAGCACCCTTCACCAAATGCTACTGCCTTGTCATCTGGGTGGCTGTCCACCGCTGGCGGTCGCAGGCCTGGCACTGCAAAACTCGGCGTACAAGACAAGCTGCAATTACAAGTACCAGATGCTGTGCGTGGCACACACTCGTCTTGCAGGCAGGAATGTAGAATGTAGAGGTCTTGCTGAATCAAACTGACTCCGTGGTGAACACTGTTTGGAACATACATCCCTGTGCTCCAAGGGCAAAGCCCAAAGCGCTCATCCATGGCAAGCTTCGCTACCTCCTCAATAGCTTGCCTCCTGGCAGAGAGCAATTCCATCTCCACTTCAAAGGGACAGTGCATCAGTTCTTCGACTGTTGTACATTCGAGAGTTGCACAGGCTGCGGTCCCTTGGTCTCAAGTGAAAGGCAACCCAAATCAATCCAGTGATCTGTCCTGGCTTGTGCTTCTTTCTCAAAATCTGCCGCAACGCTTGATGAACCCATTTCAGGCTGCATGTACCTGTACAAATCCAACATCCCCACGTGCACATCTTTGTACAAACAATACTGCTACCATTGAACCATCCTCGAACCAACACCAACACCGAGGGCACGCATGTACGCATGCGGATCCAAGCGCCATTGAGCCAAAGGACGCTGCCTAAAGCAGGACAAGTGGCCAAGCACTTGGCCAGGCTCCTTCAAGTCTGCCGTCTAAAGTCTTGGCTCTAGGTCAAGGACCAGAGTACCAATATAATGCCGTAGAGGCATTCCCATCGCCTCAAGTCAGTCAAGTTGTCGGAACTTCAAATTTCGGCTGGTGTTTCATCGCATGGAACCAAAAAAAAATCAATGATTGTTAACTGGGTAACAAATGCACGTGTCTAGTCTTCTTTCCTCCTGCCTGATGTGTTTTGACTTCGTGTCTGGATAATATCATAATATCTGAAACACATTCCAGGATCCTGGCCATGGTTGGCCTACCAAACAGCCGGATAGGTCCGACAATCCCAACCCTCAAATGGCCCCACTCGGCCTTGAGCAAAATCACCTGATTCATTGCTAAATCCAATTACCAAGAAAAATGCGGTGCGGGCGAAAGACTCCAACCTTTTAACAGTTCCTGTCTCCGCACGTGAAGGGGGGTTCGAGTGGTTTTCAAACTCAACAGTTCGTTGGCAAATCCCTCCAAACAGAGCACATGTCGGCGCTGAGGACTGAGTTAGCTAGAATGAAAGGACGGTTTTGGCAGCATCGAACACCACTGAATCTCAAAATGGAAATACATGGAAATACGAACTATGAAATACTGAGAGTGAAGATGTGGCGCCAGCCATCGCAATCTAACTCGCATCCTTTTCGGAAAGAGCACTCTGCTTGAGCGGCACGGTACAAGTACATTTGCGCTCTGCGAGGCCGTACGTGGTTCCAATCTGCGGTGCTCGCAACACCCAAAGAACGAAGACCCGCAAACAGTTGACCGCACACAAGCGTGAGTCAGAAAAAATGTAAATGTACACTTAAAATAACCTACTTTGCCAATAATGATCCCCACCCATAGTAGCGATTTTGAATAAGAGATCCAGAGGCTGGGGCTGGAGGCCAAAGACTGGGGCTTAGAATTAAATCTATTCTTGTTATTGATATAGCCAGCACGCCGCATGCCTTAAATTCAATTCTAAGCTCCTCCCTGACAAAGCCACAGTGGCTCAAACAGTGGCCCATGTCTGATGGAATCAGGTTAAGCCTGAATGTGAGCCCCCTGAGCCACAGAAACACGTGGGACATAGCCAAGATTCAAATCGCAGCTCATGGCTGGATAACTGGCAATCAAATGCAAGCTACAGGGAGGTAGATAAAAATGCTTGAATTCAGATTGCGCCCATTTGCGATCTGAAATCCAGCTTGTCTTGTGGTTTGACACATCATCTCATTAGCTACCGTCGCGGCTGGGAAGTGTCCAGGGATATGTTCTGACGTCCTCTTTGGCATGCGTTCTGGCATTTGTGCTGCTAGTTGCGCTCCGTCATCTGTCATGTATTCCGACATTTGTTCGGACATTCGCCTGGAAAGTGTCCCAACGTTTGTTCTGATACGTGCTCTAGCGCGCAATCCGACATGCGTTCTGACCTTCGTCTGACAAGTGTTCCGACTCTGATACGGTTACTACAATAAAATACGCGGATTTAAAATAGCCGAACAAGTATTTTAATGCACCTCCGTGAAGGGTCTGGCGGGGCCGCCCAGCCATTAAAACATGCGGAAACAGAAGTTGTGAGCTCAGTAACACAGACACTTCCTAGACCTAAAGGCTCCTTGCTGGAAACAAGGAAACAGGAAAAATGCCTGCAGGCCACTGTTGGATATGCCTTGCGAATACAACCAAAAAATATTGCTGGAAACAGCTGTCAAGCTATATACGTGGAGGGCAGTGTGCGATTGCCTCTTCAAGGCTCTGCGTCAGGTACAGGCTACGGACAGGCCCTACTGGAAGGGTGAATGGTGACCCCGCCTGCGCGGAGACTAGCGCGGCCTACGTGGAGGCCTACATGGAGGCTCTATGTGAGAGGAATGGGGCCTATGAAGGGTTAACGTGGAAGCCTGCCCGTTGAGAACATGAATAGAATAGTTATGTTGCTATCTGGGGTTTACACTGGTGTGCACCACGCTCGTGTGGGCGCGCGCACGATAGCGAACGCAACCTAGCCACGAAACTCCGCAAACTCTCGGCGCACAGGCTTTCCCAAAGGTCAGTTTTCCAACAGCCGTGATGAGGAGAATCTTTGCAGTAACAAAAACTCCTTGCCCCCGCCTGCGCCAACCAAGATACCGAAGCTCTTTTTTCAAGTCTCTTTGCTTGCCGCCTTTGTTCTCACCACTGCTCCAGTTCCTTCGCCACTCGAATTGGACATTTCTGCAACATGCCTTTTGGGCCGCTTCGCTTGTCCAACACGATTGCCACGCGCAGCTTTGGCTTGGAGGGCGAGCTCAAAGGCTGGTGTACAACAATGCATCCAAAGGCCACCTCTAGCTACCAAGGACTTCGCCAAACCACTGAAATGGCCGTCTATGTGGAGGGGGATGCCCCACATTATGGCAATTAATCTTCCTATGTGGAGGGCCGAAGCAAGTAATCATCCTACGTGGATAGCCTCTGGCACTTTGTTGCCAAGTCACTGTTGGCTCGGAACGGTGCAACAAGGTCTTGGACGTGCCTTCGATGCCACAGGGAAGCAATTATTTAGATGGTTCAGCAACTCTTGGGAGACTGCATGATACACTTTCCCAGTCTCCAAGGATGGTAGGTGACTGCACCCCACAGTCTGCACCTGGCTTGTGTTGGACCCAGTTGGCTAGCATGCGCGCTATCTATGTGGCTACTGTATACGGTATACTCCTATATGGGTGGCCCCTGCACACACAAACACACACTGGGGAATGAGTTTTGGAGTGTGGAACGTTAGGATGATGGTGAAGCACAGGACCTCCTAAGCGTGTGTCCTTGAAGACTCGAGACAAAGCAGATTTGGCGACACCATCGATCAAGTCAAAAGAAACCGACAAGATTAGTATACTGTCTAGCGTGCTGGGTTCTCGGCTTAGCCCAGTTGCCATTCACGGAAAACGCTCAACGCAGGTACGTGAGAGTGATCAGCTCTCATATCCCGTACAGTCAGGTAGCTTCGTTGGACATCGTCCCTGATTGTACGCCATGTCCCCCCGCTCTCAAAATTTTCAACTCCAAGAGTTCAACGTCCGCATGTTAGAGCGGTGTACACACACACACATGGCCCTCCCTACGGAGGGCTCAGACTTCAGGTCTGAGAAAAGTTTTAAAGTTGGGACTACCTGCAATCAATTTGCGGTACGGCAACACTGTGAAGCCTAGAAAGAGGGGAGTCCTCGTACCCAACCAGGTGGTTTTGACAGCATAGAATGAGTTCCTTGCGCCCATCACATCAAAGGCACAAACCTCGAATGTCTGACCCCTGCTCTCAAAATTCTCAATTGCGATGGACCTGCAGGGACCCAAGCCGGCAGCTCTCCACATCATGGCACAGAAGACAAGTGTTGAGCTACAAAAACTACATGTGGTTGGCCCCGATCAGTGAACCAATGGTTACAATGTGGTCCTTATATGGTCCTATGCATGGCGTTCCTTGCTCCAAGTTGTGAGACGTGGACCACTGCT